GGGTTGGACTAGAAAACTACGATTCTTGTTATTCTGTGATAGGTCCCTTGTAGCTCTGTGATTGTAAGAATTTAAAAAGAAAAAGGGAAAGGGACAGTGAAAAAGAAAAAACGTGTATGGGGGTGCAGACAAAAAAAAGAAAAAAAGCTAAGGGTTCTGCTAAGATCTTGGAAGCCACGAAAAGTCTCTTTTGAGCTGAGCAGGATTAACGAATCCAGGAAATATATACAGGCAATCCTTGATGTAGGACCACAATTTCTCTTGTTAAGTGAGACATTTGTTAAGTGAGTTTTGCCCCATTTTATGACCTTTTTCCCCACAGTTGCTGAGTGAATCACTGCAGTTGATAAGTTAGTCACACGGTTGTTAAGTGAATCTGGCTTCCCCCATTGACTTTGCTTGTCAGAAGGAAGGCTGCAAAAGGGGATCATGTGACCCTGGGACACAGCAACGGTCATAAGTATGAGCCGGTTGCCAAGCATCTGAGTTTTGATCACATGACCATGGGGAGGCTGCAAAGGTCTTAACTGTGAAAACCGGTTATAAATCAACTTTTGTTCAGTGCCGACGTAACTTTGAACGGACACTAAATGAACTAGTGTTAAGTCAAGGACACCCTGTAGAAGCATAGAATATGTATCCTAGAGAGCAGCAGATGGAAGCCTGGAAGTAAAAAGGGCTTTGCTTATAATGTTGTAGTTTCAAAAGACCTTTTGGAAGAAACCATGATATTAAATGTAAAAATAAACGGATTTTCATGCATTATCTGATTTTAAAATCAATGCCAAATGGACAAAGAATTTGACCAAACTCTGAAAATTGAAGACAAAAAGAATTGATGGGAAAAAGGTATTTAAAACAAACGAGACAAAAGGAAGACTGGGGTGCCCCCTCCGTCTGTTCCCACCTGGGCACCTGCACAGCTGTACTTCTAGGATCTTCGGGATCCAGAAGGGACCTGCTCAGGGCCCCTTCCCGGCCCTCCTCCTTGCGCTCCCCCAACGGCTGCATGGAAGACACTGCCCCTCTTCTCTTTCCGCCCCTTCTCAGCCACGGAGGGGACACTCCCCCCCCAAAAGAAACCACCGGGAGGGATCCATAGGATGGGAAAGGCAGAGGGGGATGGAGGGGGGCAGGTAAAGGCATTTTGGGACTCGGCTTCTGCATTTCCCCCCTGACCACAGAGGCTTCCCCGGGGAAGGGACCCGGACCAGCCCCTCCCTCTCCATCCTCTTGGGCTCCGCAAACTTCTAGCCCAGCGGTTCTCAACCTATGGGTCGTGACCCCATTTGGGGTCGATCGACCATTTCATGGGGGTCGCCAAGCAAGGCTATCCGCCATTTTTTTTCCCCTTTTCCGGCGGGTGCCTTACCTCCCTTGGGCTGGGCCAGCTGGTGGTCGGCCTGCTCCGTCTCTGCCACTTGCCAGCTACGCCTCGGCTGGCGCAGGGGGCGGAACCACGCATGCGCGGTGCTCCCGGGCAGGGAAAGTCCTCGACTTACTACCAGTTGGGTAGTCCTCGACTTAGGACCGGTTTAGTCCTCGACTTAGGACCGGTTTAGTCCTCGACGTACGACCGGTTGGGGGTCGCGGCATTAAAAAGGTTGAGAACCACTGTTCTAGCCGGAGAAGAGCCCTCCTCGAAGGGACGGGGGATGTTCCTGTTGCTCCAGTCTTCCCTCCAAAGCCATTGCAAAGCTTCAGTTTCCACCCAGATGCTGGAGCAGGAGGGATCCCTGCCCGGGCACAGCAGGGCACTCTTCACATGGGCAGAGGAATCCCGGAGGCTGATCTCCAGCGGAGAAACAGGGAGATCTGGCTGGGAAAGCAGAAAGGGGAAGGGAGGGAAGGAGGAGCTGAGGCTGCTAAGGGG